TCCCCTCCCTTCCCCACGCGAACCGCCGTTTGCAGAAAGACAATACCGAAGAGGGGATCCCCTGGGAGTAGGGGAGGGGAGCCCCCTTATGCAGAAAGGGAGATCGAGCGGGAAATTCATTTTGCTTCCGCTTTTTTGCAGTAATTATTCCTTTTTTCTTATCTTTTGATAGTTACTCGCCTTTAATGTGTCTCGGCGATATTGAATCGTTGCGGAATGTCCTCTGCCCTGATTGCGGTTGGCACACTAAATTTATATGTCCTACATCCATTATATTCCAGCTGTTTTCATAGATGCTGCTCATTCTCGCTCATGCTGCCCATTTCAGCGTAAAGATGTTCAATAGAAGTCGAGGTGTATCTGCAGTGAATGAGTAGAAGACGTTATGCTGCCGAAAAAAAGGGGGCGTGGTGCTGCGGACATTCAAAGCAGCATTTCTACACATAACTGAAGTTGCAAATCGTGTCAGCTCTCCATAAACGCTGTGGCTATCAGCTACATATCGTCCTTTACCCTAGGGGAGTGATCTCCAGCGGCCATCCCTGCTATGCACGAGGGGAACGATGGGGAGGGGATCACTCCCCCGAGGATCTCTACTCAGAAACACGCGAGTCTGCTAATTTTCATTTTATTCAAAGCAGTTTTACGTTAGGATAACAAGATAAAGACAATTTATCATATAATGTGATAGTTACAATATGTTGTACCAGCCTTGATGGATAAAACTATCATGTCAAATAAAAAATGCAACTCTCATGAATGGTCACAAACTTTTACAGATATTCGAAATTGCGATACATGTCCGGATTTCTTCACAAGAAGCGAATATGGAAGAGAGAGTTAAATCTGCAAGCTACAGGTCGCTGAGAGAGGAACCCGGCTCCCGTAGAAAATCTTTCATCAATTTGAACAAAATACTTTGTAATAATTGATTGAAATCAGAATACTCGCTTCTCCGGCTTGACCTACACCATCGAACCCCTACTCCGTTGTAGGGGATGTCGATCCCCTCCCCCGCGTTGTTGAGTTAAATTCGCGCATACGGGGTTCGAGTAATGGAGGGGAAGGGATCCCCTCTCCATTCGAACCCCGTATGCACTGGGGTTCGCTCGATGAATACCTCTGTAACCATTCACACCATCCCCGCTTAGATGCAGGGAAGGGGATTGCTCCCCTTTCCTCTGTCATGGCGGGGTTCGGCGGAGGGGATCGTTCCCCTGGGGATCCAACTCCCCTCCCTCCCCAGCGGGGACGTACGTGCATACGGGCCTTATATGACATCGGCTCCACACGCATGGAACTTTTCGCTGAAAAACAAGAGCAAATTTGAATCAGTCTTGATTTTTCATGGCCTGGTAATTGCCGAAAGGAATACAGTCGAGCACATCTCTGTGCAAAAATCTCCTCAAATGCTCAGATAAAACCTTGGCAAACTCACCATTTACATCATTTACACTATCATATCTTTTTGGCGCTGTATTCGCAAAGTGATAGACTTTTGATCACTTTTTTGGCTCAAGTTCATTGTACATTCACTTGCCAAGCGCAACATTGCAAAACATGATAGTATGGACCCATTTTCGCGCCCGAAGTTGATTGGATCCGTTTGGGGCTCGATTTTTGAGGAACCAACTCGATGGATCTGCTCGTGCTTTTGCATAGCGAATCGAGATGTTAGCAGTGTGTATTGCGCGAAAAATTGCGGCTTGAAATTCTGTTTGCAATTTGCCCTGTGAATTTCGCTACAGACAGACACACAAACAGACAGACAAACAAACACACAAGCAGACAGACAAACAGACAAACAGACAAACAAACAGAAAACAGACATGAAGGCGAAGATGAGACGAGATTTTGGCTGACTCTTAATTTCATAGTTTGGAGGTTAACTGAGGTGGAATTTCCATGGGCAAAGAAGGAGTAGTGCTTCGTAAAATGTGCAAATAGAAATGTGCAAATAGAGGTAGCAAAATGACTTTCAAAACAAGTTAATCATGCCCGAAAACGATCATTTTACATGTGGCATAATATTCGAAAACCATAGAATTCGCTGATTAGGTCACCAGGAATTATTTGACATGCTGATTACAAAAACGATACTGCTCCGTAACACTTCTTTATCGTACTTACTGTTACATGATGGTAGCTCATTACCTCAGTGTGCTTCTTTTTTGCATAATGTGCTTATCTGACTGTGATAGCACACACTATCTCATCGCTAACATTAAGTCGATTACGACTCTCCCCTGATTCCTCGATATGTCAACCAAGTGTGGCTGCCACAACCACTCTTGACTTTGGTCAAGAATCACAGTCTGCGCGTTTCCACGAAACGTTGCCGCTGCGCAACAATCACCGGTTCAAGAGCCTGCTTCCGTCAGCACTCGTGGGGTGACTCTATCTAGTTTATACTCCGAAAAATCCGAAATTTCTCATCGAATGAATGTGTATCGAATAAATTCGAAATTCAAAAATCACGAATAGATTATTAAATATATTCGAAAGTTAGAATTGTCGAACAAACAAACATCGACGAAATTCGAAGAACTTCGGACAACTGAATTTATATATATAGAACTCAACAATTGTCATTTTGGAGGGTATGTGCGTTATACAAACGCGCGTAGCTCAACCGATTCAGCTGAAACTTTGCACACATATGTTTTCGACCCCTGCGCAAATGATAGGCTACTTCTTTCTGCGGCGATTCGTTGGGTCTTTCTATCGATTTATTGATTTGTTTAGCTTTTCTAAGGAATTGAAGGCTTATCATGTTCAGTCAAGCATTTTCCCAAAATCGTGTTAAGGAGGGCGGTGAAGCTCATTTTCACCTTAAAATCACGAGGTTGGGTTTCAAAGCGGATGTCAAGGGTAAGTCATCAATAACATTTAAGGGGGGGGGGGCTTGCAGTGCAGGTGAACGAAACAAGGCCCGGGCTGGACCGGGAAAGCCACCTAGTACCTAATAAAACCAGGAAATTGAAAATACCGAATGATTGAATACCATAATACCGAATGATTGAATACCTTTTATTCGAACACTGAGGGTCGAATATCAAACAAATAGTTAGATAGTCAGATAATTTATTCGAGCGGTTAAACATTCGGATAAGTCATTTAAATACAATACCGCTCTCAGAACGTGCAAAATTTCCGTGAATGTCGCGGAAATCCCGGAATTCCGCGAAGGCCGGCGAAATTTTCGGAATATCGCCATAACTTCCTTCGGAATGCATAAAGTCTCGATCTGAAGCAAGGGTTATACTCAGCTCATTAAGGCTTTTGGTACCTTCCCTTACCGTAATTCCCGGGGCACGATTGGTGCACAGTAGGAGATAAATTCTGCTTCTTGGGGGAGTGGAGGTGAGCACAATATTCGTGTCCTGTACTCGAACCCACCCCTTCTAGTAATAAATAGGTGCTTGAAGCTACTAAACAAACAGAAGAGGGGAAAAACAACATCGACGGCATCATCACTGCATCTTCGCATATTTTAGAACTAACCACACCCAATACCATTGATTACTCCCCCCCCCCCCCCCTAGAATTTCAGAAAAATCGCAAAAGGATTCACTTGCTGCCGTACACCCACCTCCCCTCTCTCAAGATGCAAAATTCATCTCCTACCGTGCACCAATCGTGCCCCGAGAATTACGGTAAGGCAAGGTACCAAAAGATTCGCCTTACGGAGCTGAGTAAAACCCTTGTTTCAGATCCAGAATTTATGCATTTCGAAGGAAGTTATGGTGATATTCCGAAAATTCCGCGAAATTCCTGGAATGTCTCGACATTCCGAAAATTTCGCGGACCCACGGAAATTTTGCACGTCCTGAGAGCGGTATTGTTCATAAGCATACGAATAATTTATATGAATGTCCAGCCACTCGAATATATTAGCTCGTTCAAAAGTGCTTTTTTTTCAAATAAACTCCACAGTTCACGGAACAAAAATTTCTAAGAATCTTGGCGCATTCGATGCAGCGTTTGGTCCCCTTTCTAAACGTTATAATTTCTTGCGGCGTAACTCTTAGGCACAAAAGAAGACGACCCATGTAGTTTGAGATGGTCAAATCTCATTATATTTCCAAATTTTGATATCAGCCCTCAGAAGGAGTACAAGTAACGGGTGGATAGAGCAAACCGTACAGAAAATAGTACACGTTTTTTTCTTCCGCATAACTTGGTGTAGTATCTTGATAAAAAATCTAGCAAAACAACGAGTTTTAGCAGGTCTATCTTAGAGATAAACACGTCAAACACTAAGAAATCAACTCGAATAATTCGCAATTTTCGTTCGAATACGAATTTGAATGAAAACTGAATAAAACATTTGAATAATCTTTGTTCGAGATTTTCCAATTATTCGAGTTTCCAAATTTTATTCAAAAATAAAAAACTCGCACTTTTGAATTTCAAATGCGACTATAATTTAATGCTTTATTCGAATAATCGAATTTTCATTCAATTTGGACTAAAGTGTATTCACGGCAGGTGTCTGCTCTCCCTCCCCCTCCCCCAATCCCCCCCCCTAGTCCCCACTTGTCCCACTTTAGCACCAGAGAGTCTCCATGGGGCACAAGATGTGAGCGCGGCGCGCGCGGCAAAGCGGCCACCGTGCACGGGTGATCTTGAGCCCTATGCAATAACATCCCTACGGCAAGAAGAGCGACGTTCCCGATAAAAAACCGCAGCGGCATTTGCTCGCGGCCCCTTCACAACGGGTCACGCCCTCCCGCAGGAATGTTAATGCATAAGGGCCTTGCTGTGCGGCCTCCTTTGCATTATTTTGGAATGAAGATGAGTGTGTTTGTTTTCAAATATGCTAAAGTCTATTGTTTGTGCCGTTCTCGCTTTGGTGACCGTTGAATACGGACAAACTTTTGAAAAAGTTGCCACTCTTTGATCTAATGGGACTGAAAGCTGAAAGGCGACCGCACCGTTGAAATACCAATCAAAAGTATTTACATTCGTTCAATGTTTTTTTCGCACTCTCTACTTACATTAGCGAAAAATGGGGCAATTTGATCTGCTTGACCAAACTGGCAGCCTGGGACTACAAGCTGAGCACCTCCAGCTTCTCCAAATCGAATAGTATCGTTACCCCAAAATCCTTCTGCCCTTCCAGTCCCATACTGAAAGCCGACATTGTGAGTATTGGATTTGATTCAATGCATTTACGTTAAGAACATTACATTGATGGTCCACCTTGATCCAGGCATCCGGCTGTAGGTCTCCGATTCATTCGACATGAAGTAGTTTTTCGCTGCGCACGGATTCGGTTCTTCGTCTTTAATTATATACTCTTTGCAGCACTTTGTTTTTCTGGGGCAGAAGACCTGGCATACCACTGAAATTAATATTACAGAAACTCTAACAAATGTGATGATATGTGTAAATTTCTAGAGGGCTTGTGGAATTCAAGCGGCAGATTTGGATGTTTCACACCTGGCATATCATTGGTTTTGTCATGAATTACATCAAGAGTGTGATTTTTATGCAAAGCAAGTGGCACGCTGAGTGTATTTTCCCAACTATCAATGTAAGTATTTGTAACAGCAACGTCTAGAAAAACTGAGATAGCGCCTAGAAGGTACGTTTACGAATGCGAATGTAACGTTCATTTGTTTTGTACCTTAAAAACTATGCTAATGAGCAGAGGTTGCTAAGAATTATAAATTTAGATTGAAGCTAGTTTACAATGTGCAACTCAAGGCCCAGCAAGAGCTTTAGAGGCAAATATGCTATGTACAAGGTGTCCCGTAAGTCTTGTAGCCTAATATTTTATCTCATAAAAAAAGTGCGGAACAACGTAGAGATATAAAATTTGGAGCACACATTACTCGAACAACAGTAGATGCAGCACAGTACTGAAATTTTGTGAAGAATTTTTCTTGTTGACGGAAGTCTTCAAACTGTTGGCGGTTGCGACTGCCCTGGTACGCAGATAGATATCATCAGTTTCGTCCCACATCTTTAAGAAAATAGTTTCTATCTCTTGAAAAGCGCGTTGTGATAGGGCAGGCTTTCCGCTACAACTCTTACAATGGAAGGATGATCGGTCGAAGTGGCCTTTTGGAATGAGCTCTATGCGAGAAAACCCTTCTTAGTGAGGCATTCTCAAAACTACTTTCGCTAGTTGCCAAAAGGTTTTGTGGGGGGAGTTATGAGAACATTTTTCTTCGGCGCAGCCGGGGCGCCTACTGATGAGCGAGGCGTTAGAACGAACCAGCATGTGCAGCAATGGCGCGGTGGCAAAACAGCGGATTGTGAACAAATGGCCGAAGGTTCGGATCCTGTTACTGGCATTTTGTTTTGCAGTTTTGTAAAAAGTCTGTTGGGTAACATTAGAGGCAGCGTCCAGGCAGATCTGGACCTATAGGGAACTTACGTGGAAAGTACTTTCGGGGCCTTAACTAAGGCACTGCCCAAGCGGCAGCGCAGGTAGTGCTCTAACGGCTGAGATATTCCCCTCGAAACTGGCCCGCGATCGTATTTGCATGGATTATGGTAGTTTCGTGCCAGAACCCACACTTTACGCCAGGAATCCATGCGAAATACGATCGCGGGGTCCAGTTTCGAGGAGAATATCTCAGCCGTTAGAGCAATACCTGAGCTGCCGGTTGGGCAGCGGTTTAGTTGGAGCCTCAAAATTACTATCCACGTGAGATCCCCATGTGTCCAAACTTGCCTGGATGCTGTCTTTAAATGAGAAATACTCATTGCTATGCAGTTGAAACAAGCCATTAACTGCAAAAAGTCATTATTTTTACATTCAGCGTCATTATTTCTACAATCAGCTATAATCTTGCATAATCGTTAACATTTTATCCGATGTGCGCGCTGCGAGAAGTCCTGCTGCTTTGGACATTTTGTGGTTGTATTTTATAAGTGTTAATGTATTATTGAAGTCCATTATTGTAACACCATAATCCTTACTCATTTTCATGTTATAGAATATTATAGCTGATTGTAGAAATAGTAACTTTTTGCACTAAATAGCTTGTTTCAACTGCATGGCAATGAGTATTTCTCATTTGCTGTCCTCAATAGACTTTTTACAAAACTGCAAAACAAAATGCTGGCAACAGGATCCGGGCCTTCGACCATTTGCTTTACAGTCCGCTGTCTTGTCACTGCGCCAATGCCACACTCGCTGGATGGCTGCGCCTCGGTCATCAGTAGGCGCTTTGGTTGCGCCGGAGAAACTCATAACTCCCCCCACAAAACCGTTCGGCAGCTAGCGAAAGTAATATTGAGAATGCCTCACTGAGAAGGGTTTCTTAACATAGAGCTCATTCCAAAAGGCCACTTCGACCGATCATCCTTCCCTTGTTAGATACTTACAATTGGATGGTTAGATAGCCCGGCTTCATATGATCTGCGGGCCCCAGCACAAAAGTTTCCATTTCTCCTTGTTTCTCGCTTCAAACGTCCACGATCTTCTTGGCTGACGTCGGTGGCTGCGCCCACGAGTTCCAGGGGCAAAAATCGCATCCAGCTGATTTTTCAGCTGGTCCATCCGTTTCGCGAACACGTCTGCCCATCTCGATGGAGGTCTTCCTCGAGGACTTTGGCTTCGCGAGGAATCCACTCAGATGTTCTTAGTGTCAATCTGTCGTCTGTTCTTCTCATTATTGACCGGCCTGCTTCGCTTTCGCAACGTATTTCGCTGGGTCACAAAGACGGGACATTCTTCTCAAATTCGTATGCGAAGTTCGACAAATGTTGTTAGTCGGATCATCTTCAGAACACCGCGCTCTAGCGCTTTGTGCGTAGTCCTTAGAGCTTTCGACGTGGCTACAATGTCGACCCAAGTCTCAGCTGCGTAGTGGTCAAAATTCCGTCACTCTGCGATTTCTGTGGAGCGACAACTGCCACGCCCTTTTTGCATGCCAACTTGTCTGCTACGGCGTTTGTGGTAGTCGTCCGGTGCGACGGATCACAGACCGTTTTTGGCTAAGGCCCAGTCCTTCAGCAATAATCGTCGCGATTTTAATAAAACTCAGCGATGTCACGTCGCGCGTGCTGCATAGGCGGCTGGGCGATATCGCTGAGATGCGAGGGATATAGTTTTTCTGGGCATGCATTGTTCTTCCAGCTCGTTTTTGTTTGAAGAAGAAGGAAATTTTTTCTGAAGCAGTGAAGAGATAAACTTAAAGTTTTGACGCCCTTTCCATGAATGAATTGTTGTGTGATCCGTTCTCTGTTTTTCTAAGTAATCAAAATTGCTTGTTTTTGAAGTATAATTTGTAGTGTAATTTCAGTTTTGAGGTGTTTGCTTTTTGCAAGTTAAATACTCTATTTTGCATATGTGGGTATTCTCAGGTCTCTATCCGCATGAATACAGAAAATTTTTTTGTGTTTGGCGTTAGTGCATTAGCACAAAACGGTTCTGTTTCTATATTTTTAGTTCAGTGCAATGCTTTGTTTTTTCAAGAAGGGAGCGGCAGTTTCTTGCCATAACACTGCTGAACCCCATGTCATCATTCCATTTTTAATTCTTTGTGATTGCTTGTCCTTTCAACACTTAATGAAGGGTCCATATTACAGCTTTTAGCTTCAAAAAGCCAACATTCGCATACGAGAATTTTCTGAACTAATAGGTTTATAAGATAAATGATGGGCAAGTTACTTAAAAATTTTGTGCTCTTGTTTCTGCGATGAGCAATTTCGTCGCGGCGACTTCATCGCGCAGACCACGAATTCTCCGGCTATGAAATCGCACGAGGAAATCGCGAGCACTATGCCCGTTACCAAGAAGACGTCCATAATAAAGGGGCCTTACAATTCCAATTCCGCATCTTCAAAGAGTTTTTAATGAACTGATTCTTCTTCCGATTTATTCGCAATCCAATCTTCTTCCCTACTTCGTTTAGTTCCTTCAGCATTGTTTCTGCTTCAGTGACTCTGCTTCAGTGATATTGCTCGAAAAGGGAACGATGTCGTCCGCAAAGCGAAAGTTCGACAGGAATATCCCATCAACTCGTATGCCTCTCTCCGTCCCATTCCAATGACCTCATCACCCACTGCAAGGCCGCGGTGAACAGCTTCGGCAAAATAGTGTCGCCTTGTCGAACCTCCTTCCCAATTGGAATGGTTAGGGCACGATGGGATAGCTGCATCTTCGTTCTACAGTCCTTGTAGCAATAGAGTAATATCCTCATTCGAGCTGGGTCTACTCCTTGATCGATCAGCGCTAATAGGATGGCGTTGGTTTAGACGCTGTCAAAGACTTTCACGTAGTCGACGCCCGATCTGACGAGATTATAGGATAATGATCCCCGGATGTCAAGACACGTTTTTAGGTTAAAAATGTTCTCGCAAAATCTCCATGATATGATCTTCAAGTCAAGCCCTTGAATTGGCCAAGGAGCGTGGGTGAAAAGTCTGGTATATGCAGAAACTCATTTTCATGTAAAAAACGTCCTGCTTATAAAATTTTCTTTTTGAAGAATAATTATGCGTACAAAGGTTCTACATGCAATAAATTTCCGTGAAGAGAGGCAATCGATGAGTCTGATGTTGGAAGGCTAGGGGTAAAGCAAGAGCTAGCAAAGCACAACCACCAATTACTTTTCACGCCTCGCGGCAGTTTAAAATTTTCATAATTTGAAAGTTGGCGTACATACATGTACTAAAACATAGATAAAAAACTGCTTCGTCTTAATTCGGTCACAAAAAAATTCTCTCAGCACCGGAGATACTGTGGGCACTTCTAGGCTGTAGAATACTTTTCAAATTTATCTCTATCTACCAATGGCTACTTAATGTGCCTGTCACTCGTCAAAATGCCAAGGTTGAAGAAGAATGCTGTAAAGTTCTAAGTTCCTGCTTCTTCATCAATAGGGTTTTTTGCAAGAGCTAGTATTTCTCTGATAGCTGAAGAATTGGTCAACACACATAAACTAATATGGAAAAAAATTGATTTTGAAAGAAATTATGACACTTGAATTCAAAAATTCAAATGGGATAGAACTTATGCAGTATTTACAAGTAAAAACACAGACCTCTACCAACGTTTAATAAAGTACTTCACTTTTGATCCATTCTTGTGCAGTTTACCTCAACTTTCATTCACCTCCGGAAAAGAAAAAATGATCTTTTGTCTTTTGATTGAAAAAAACGGAGCCTTTTTCATGCATTTCCGCTTGACTAATACGGTTGTAAGAGCGCAAAGAGTTTGCCCGAATAGTATGTCATTTGCTTTATCACAATGTTGACGCGTAGTAGCGCAAGACTGAGAGAAACGCAAAGAAACCCTGTCCGAGTTGTTCGAGGCGCCATGCCAATGGTTGCAAAAGGAGCGTTGCTAGCGTGATAGGCTAAGATTGCTCGTGTAAGCAAGATTTAAGTTGCAGCTTGTTGTTAATTGTCACAAAGAGTTTTAAAATCTAGTAAAATTCGAGGTGTCCTTCTACCTTTCGTTTAACCGAAAATGTTTGTTCGCGACTCATCTATTGGTATTAACCCAAGGGTGCTCACATCCTTGATCGCAAACTGATTCCTCACATACTTGCAGAGTACCTATGTGGCACTTGTAGTCTGGCACCCAAAGATTGGTAGAACCAGTGTCAAGAACGACCTAAGGTATTTCTGGCTAAGCTTTATGACTCATGATCCATGCCCGCTTACCTTGAATTCCTGATCTGGTGTTCCTACTGTGATCGTGCCAACATAAGTCAGGTCCCAGTAATTGTACAGCTGAAATGATGTTGACCAAAAACTTTTGCGCCTTTTCTGTGTATGTGTTGAAAATGTAAGACTCAAAAGATCCTGGCGCCTAACATTTTCATTGTGCCATTTCAACTTTCTTTTGAATAGTTGTTCTCAAAATTACCTTCTGGGCTATCGGAGCGTTTCTATCATTAGCTGCCTGCAGCCGCATTGCCCTAATTGCTTTCATTTGTGTTGCCCAAGTGCCCTCGCGTATCATTTTGAACATTGGAGGTTCAATCCTCTTGAGAGGAATTTTGATCACATCACCCATTGTGATATTCGCAATGGTGAGCATCAGAAGTGCGAGCAGTCTCATCGCTGAAGTCATTTACTAGTTACGAAGATGGGAAGAAGACGCTTAGGAAGCTGAGTTTATGATGTTTATGATTGTGAAAAGGTTGAGCGACATGAGAGATGAGAGCTCGCCTTGTGAAAATGACAACACTTTTGTGCATGTTATATGTAGGATTAAGTGTATGTGTACTCTCGCAAGTTGATCTCCATGTATCTTTCTTCAAATTTGTTTTTGAAAACAGACATTTAGGGTAGCATGCAATTCCCTCCTAGCTGGGGAGGGGAAGGCAGCTCCAAAGAAAGCCTCATATCTGAAGTTCCCAGTGTTTCAAACTTTAACCTGATCTAACTTTGTAGTGAGTCTTTTGGTACTCTTTGTTATAAACATATGAAACAGGAACGAAAAATTGTATGACTTGCACTTTCCGCATTTTCAAGCTTTGAAGTGGTCCCCTAATAATTGGTTTCTGATGTTTTTCTTCAAAGTCAATGAGAACATCAACAAGATGAAGTGTTTATACAAGGTGTCCCAAAAAGATCTTCTACCTTTTACTGGCGGCGCGCTCTCACCAACGCTCACTCGCTCCGTACCGCTGGATTTCCTGGTGTCTATGTCCGTCGCAGCATGACCCAGGAAGAGCGCAAGTCGGAGTATGACCTCAGGCAGGCAGCACGTGAACGTAATAGAGGAAAAAAGAGCAAGGAATGGGTTGTCTACCGCGGGCAACTTGTAAAAATCAGTGATCTGGCTACTCGGAGAACGGGAAACGCGTAAGCTTGCACGGGTCTCAGAATAAAATAAGAGCTTATTTTCTCAATGCCAGAAGTCTATTAAACAAAATTCACCATTTGCATGCATTTTTATCCTACTATAAACCGGATCTCGTTTTTGTTACTGAGACATGGTTTTCTCCTAAGGTTTTTGATAGCGAAATAATAGGTGATTTACCGTATTCTATTCTTCGCTCTGATAGAAGTGCTCGTAGAGGGGGCGGAGTTTGTTTGTTGGCTTATGCAACACTTTTGGTTCAGAATATAGAAGTACGCAGTTCAACGGAAGGAAGCGTTTTATGCGCTGACTTAATCACACAAAACATGCTTTCAAAAATACGTACTGTATTAGTTTACCGTCCTCCTAGTAACCAGTTGACTGATGATGAGGAATTGGCTTGTCTACTGGCTGATCTCTCAAGTGCAAACTCAAACACAGTAATTATTGGCGATTTTAATCTGCAGGTAGACTGGAGCCGTGTGAAACCACTCAATAATACATCTGCAAAATTCGTGAACCTTTTTGCTGATCTAGGGATGGAGCAAATGGTAGAATCCCCGACGCGTGCGTTCAATATTCTTGATTTAGTTCTTTCGTCATCACCTATTGTGTCAAATGTAAAAATCATGGCACCTCTCGCTAGCTCCGACCATTCCGTAATCAGTTTTACCTTAAATGAAACCTCTTGTTATCATAATCTTCCTCCTTTGCCTGATTTTAGGCGAGTAGATTTCTCTTCTTTAAATCATTATCTCCAGAGCGTTGATTGGTTGGGCGTGTTCAGCCAGTACTCATCTGCTGACGATGTATACCGGAGGTTTTGCAATGTTGTATACCAAGCTTTCAAAATTTTTGTACCCTTTCGGATCCATACAAATTCCAGATCTAACAAGGGAAGTTCGCCGAATCGAAATGGCCGATTGATACGTGGTATATACCCGGGCGCGGGGCTCGGAAGGTTAGTCTCAAATGTGCGCCCATTAGCTGCGACGCGTTATTGTGAAGCAAGTTATGGCCCTCTGAAGTTTTTGGCGTGTGCATGTCTAGAGTACGCACAAATGCTCCGATTGTGGTCGTGTGGTGTAGTGGTTAACGTCTCGGACTCACAGGTGACCGGTGAGGGTTCGAATCCTGTTGCTGTCCACATGTTTTGCGTTCTTCTCAAAAATCATTTTTTACCTGTTTTATGCATTATTGAGGTAAATGACACACACGGGTTAAGGGATGATTTTTCTCACGAAAATTCAACCAATGCTTCATATGTAAGATTTTCGTAGAACATAGCAACGACTTTTTAGCGACGGCTTTTCAATTGCTTTTTAAGATTTGCCAAATTCTCACTCCCACATTCTTTCTTCGATTGCACGTAGTATATACGTGACAATCTCCAAGTTGTATCACGTCGTACTATTGATTCTTGCTAATGGGCTACCTTGTGAAAATGACACAGCAGAATGTATAATTAGTAGAGTTTAACCACCTGTGTGTGTTATTTTTTAGTCAGTAATGCATAAAACAGGTAAAAAATGCTTTTGAGAAGAACGCAAAACGTGTGGATAGCAACAGGATTCGAACCTTCACCGGTCACCTGTGAGTCCGGAACGCTAACCACTACACCACACGACCACAATCGTGGCATTTGTGCGTTCCCTACACATGCACACGCCAAAAACTTCAGAGGGCCATAACTTGCTTTACAATAACGCGTCGCAGCTAATGGGCGCACATTTGATACTGACCTCCCGTGCCCCGCGTCCGGGTGTATACCACATCAATCGGCCATTTCGATGCGGCGAACTTCCCTTGTAAGTACCCTCAGCAAATAAAAAATCTATTAGATCAAAAAAATCGACTCTTTTTGCACCTTCAAAGTCCACTTAACAATGACTCATATAAAAAGATATGCAGAGATATCGATTACCACCTAAAAAAATTTCTTGCGTATAAAGAGAGAAAGCTCACTCTTAGTGCGTCTTCAAAACAACTGTTTAGCTATGTGAGTTCTAAACTAAAAGGAAACTGTCGATTACCAGTTTTGAAAGACTTGACTGGCAAGAACTACAATACTGATACTGAAAAAGCCAATGTACTTGCGAATTACTTTGTCAGTGTTTTCGATCGAAAAGAGTCCATAATGATTACTGACGAGTTGGTGAATTCAGTTCCAACCCGTCGACTGCTATGTGATGTATACTTCAATTCCTCCGATGTCTTCAAAATTTTGAAAACTCTGAAGCCTTCACTGACAGAACCATTTGATGGCATACCGCAAATTGTTTATAAGGAATGTGCTGAGACGCTTTGCAAACCTCTTGCTCACATCTTCAACATTTCTATGCTTACTGGAGAAGTTCCTCAGTTGTGGAATCCCTTATTACACCTATTCCTAAAGTTTCTTCCGCACAATTAGTATCCGAATTTCGTCCGATTAGCATGACCTCTTCGTCAATCAAGGTTATGGAGAAAATCCTCAAAGAGAAACTTACGTCGTGGCTGTTGAAATCCGATGTTATCCCCAAAGAGCAACATGGTTTTTTGGGAGGGAGAAGTACTGCAACTAATCTAGCAGATAGCATTTTTGATTGGACGATGGCGCTTAACAATAATCAGTGTGTCGATGTTATTTTTGTAGATTTTTCCAAAGCATTTGATAAAGTTTGCCATACAAAACTCCTAGCAAAACTCAAAAAAATTGGAATTTCTGGAAATTTACTTTGTTGGCTAGAATCATATTTGAGGGATAGATACATGTCTGTGAAGGTTGGCCTTAACTGCTCTAAGAGGCATCCATGTGAAAGTGGAGTTCCTCAGGGAGGGGCACTTTCACCATTACTCTTCTTATTATATACCATGGATCTGCCTTCTATACTGAAAACATCGCCCTCAGTTAAGGTACAGATGTATGCCGACGATGTGAAAATTTATGGTATCTATGACCTCCACCTATTTAGAAACTCATAGTGCGCTCAAGACTTCCGTTGAAAAATTGCTGCTCTGGTCAAGTGAATGGGATCTTCCCATCAACCTTGAGAAAACTTCGGTCATGCATATCGGAGGAAATGAAGGAGCTAGTTATGAAATTAATGGAACTAAGTTGGCTGAATGTAGTTTGACTAAAGATCTTGGAGTATTACTTGACTCGTCCCTCAAATTCTCTCAGCATATAGATGTTGTTGTCAGAAAGGCGTATAATGTTTTGTATGCCATTTTTCGATCCATACACTCCCAAGATAAGACTATCTACAAAAAGTTATACAAAGCCTATGTCCTGCCCCATCTCGAATACTGCTCGCAGGTGTGGAATCCACACCTCAGGAAAGATGTCAAAAAGATAGAGAAAGTTCAGCAAACTTTCACGCGTTTGCTTTACTTTAGATGCTACAGAGGCATGACCATTAGCAACATTCCATCTTACAATGACCGTCTTAGGGAACTAAATATGATGAGCCTAGAACACCGTAGGAAAATAGCTGACTTGATTTTTTGCTTTCGAGTATTACGTAAGGAACTCACACTTTCAGCAAGCAAATACTGGATATTTATGCCTAGCAGCTCACGGTCTTTTTCGTTCAATTTGCATTACACCAGAATAAAAAGAAAAAAATTCATGCTGGCGTACAACAATCTATTCCATCGAGGAGCGAACAGCATCTCCCTTCAAGTGTTCTTGGTTCTTCCAGTGCTTCCAGCTTCAAACTGGGACTGAGGAAAGTTGATCTGGATGTACTCTTAGATTCGTAGTTATATTTTGTTTCTCATGCTTTTATTTTTCAGCGGAACCGGAGAAACTACGTCGAAGATAATTAAATCTTGTTTTTACATCGATATTACTGGTGTCGTAAACAATTGTCTAGATCAATCTTGTCTGTTGCTAGCTTTCGGACTTTGAATGGTTTCTACGGCTGTTGTGTTGTTTATCTATTTATTACGTTGTTTCTTTTATTTTTTTGTGTTGCTTTACATAGGTTTTCGCAACTTAATTCCTCGGATATCTCTTGTATTCCGATGAATCTTGCTCATCTCTAGAACAGAATCATCATTATTCGTGGGTTACGTCAGCTAGCCTGGCACCGGAGGCTCGCTGACACTCTAAATCGGGAACTATCAAAGTTTTAGAGATGGCAAGGCTTCAGTTATAATTGGTTGCGTCTTGAATCGGACTTAGTGCCTTCTTGTTTGATGTTTGGTTGCTTTTTGGTGCACCTAGAGTGTAAACTAAAATAAAATAAAATAAAATAAAATAAAGATGT